TTTTGCAAGCTGTAATGTCTCCCACTTGCACTATGGTTGGTGTGCTTGCTTTGAAGTAGTCTTCATCCTTAAAATGGATTTCTTGCAGTGGTATATAAAAGAGGAAGGTTCCCACACGAACCTCTCCCACCACCCTGACTCTGGGCAATGACAAGGAGTAGCAGTAAAGGATGACAACTTGATTCTTGCATTTTGAAACTGCATTTTGAAATTGAATCTTGCTTGCTTTGACAACCATTTGAAAAACTATGGAATGCACAGTGTTAAATTTCAGGTTTAGTTGCATTTATATGAAAAGATTTGAAAAAGCACCTCTCCCTCCTGTTTTTGAATCAGACTAGACAGAGAAGGGCAGCACAGGGAGGTAGAGACCTGGATGGGTTCCTAGGTCGTTACCACATAGCTTGCCTTAGCCAAGCACTCTGTAGATCTCCTAGTCCACATCTGGCAAATAAGAGTCTTAAGCCTGATTACCTTGAAAATAACCTCTAGCTCTAAAACTTTTCTAGTATCTGAATTTTAAGTAATTGCATAGCTAATTCAAAGAACCACTTTTATATAGTTCCATAAAAATGAAAAATATACTTTTGGTTTTGATAAATGTAATATACTTCAAGCTGCCATTGAAAAAACATCTAATGAAAGTTTACATACTAAACACTATTTCAACAGAGAGTGGTGTTATTTAACAGTTAATAGAATAACTACCAGCTAATTTAAATTAATTATAAGGAATGTTTCTCTAATTATTTTTTTCTTTCTGGATCTTAAGAATAAACTATGAAATCTGATTTGATTTTGGATCTTCCTAAATATCAATAATTTTAGCATAAGTCTTGAAACTAATAGCTAAACATCTCTCTCTGTCAGAAGTCTCTATTAAATCCATAGCTGATTAGCCATATTAGGGAAAGGTGGCTTACACTAGAAGAAAGTAATAGTCAAAAGTCCTAAATGTCATTCAATTACTCCCCAATAAACTGGCAAGCTTTTGGCATTGTCTTTAGCTATGCCTTAACCCATATATTTATACTTTTATATCAGAGTGACTTTTAGAAGGAAGTTTTCAGCTCTGTAATTAGCAATTCACAATGGAAGCTTTGACACTTAATTACAGCATTGCTAAGACAATAATAATATGAGAAATACTAAAGTTGAACACAGTATTACTTGACACACCTCTGGCTACTTTCTTATTGGCTGGGAAACAATTATATATGACTAGTAAATAATCCATACAGAAATGAATGTGTATGTACAACACACATTCATTTACAACAGGTACTTCTAGTCAGGCCAAGTTCAGTCACTGCTGCTGCTTCGGTCTAAAATGTTATGGACAGCAGCTGAGGAGAACATCATCAGAGACTGCTCTAGACTCAAAGAACCCTCCACGTTCTGCAGCTTGAGCATCTTCTACCATTCCAGATTGGACCAGTCTTCAAAGTAAAGGCAATGGCATTTTATCCTCTGCAAATTGCTGGGTTGGTTCTTGGATTCCTTGGTATGGTGGGGACTCTTGCCACAACACTTCTACCTCAGTGGAGAGTATCAGCTTTTGTTGGCAGCAACATTATTGTCTTTGAAAGACTCTGGGAAGGGCTCTGGATGAACTGCATCCGACAAGCCAAGATCAGGTTGCAGTGCAAATTCTATAGTTCCTTGTTGGCTCTCCCGCCTGCCCTGGAAGCAGCCCGGGCACTCATGTGTGTGGCCGTTGCTCTCTCCTTGATTGCACTCATTATTGGCATCTGTGGCATGAAGCAGGTCCAGTGCACGGGCTCTAACAAGAGGGTCAAAGCATACCTTCTGGGGACTTCGGGAGTCCTCTTCATCCTGACGGGCATCTTCGTTCTGATTCCAGTGTGCTGGACAGCCAACATCATCATCAGGGATTTCTACGACCCAGCCATCCACGTAGGTCAGAAGAGAGAGCTGGGAGCAGCACTTTTCCTCGGCTGGGCAAGCGTTGCTGTCCTCTTCATCGGAGGGGGTCTGCTGTGCGGGTTCTGCTGCTGCAACAGAAAGAAGCAAAGGCACAGATATCCAGCCCCCAGATACTGTGTGCCACACACAGATAAGCGAAGGAACGTGACAATGCTTAGTAAGACCTCCAC